ACTAAGTGACTTGCACTATATAAATTATGATAATGAAAGAATTAGCAAAGATATGCCTGTGGCATTAAAAAAATTAAATAATTTCTGATGAATTTCTTATTGAGGTAAATTATTTACTTTTCTATATATTTTCAGGTTTTTTAAATATTATTGAATTATAATTAAATATTTTATTTGTTATTTTAGCTCAAAAATTATACAAAGTTTTATGATAAAGTATATATTTATGGATTAACACAAGATCCAATTACAAAAGAATATATCTCTGTGATGCATTACATGGAAGATGGTAGTCTTCAAAATGATGAATATTCTGATAAAAGAAGGGTATATCTTGGAGAATGTTCAACATGCAATAGATATAATACTGATTATTCATGGTGTCAATCATGTGATCCAAAGTTGTTAACTGAAGGATGGACTAGTGGTAATGAGACATTAGATGAATTAATTAAAAGTACACAACTTAAAGCAACTGAGTATGATAATAATTGGTATCTTCAATGGATTCCTTATAATTATTTGACAAATATTGAAAAGATTGGTGAAGGTGGGTTTGCAATTATATCCAAAGCTACTTGGTTAAATGGTTATAAAAGTATAAATTATTATAATGATGAAAGAAGAATTAGCAAGGATATGCCTGTGGCATTAAAACAACTACATAATTCACAGAATATTTCTGATGAATTTCTTAATGAGGTAAATAAATTATTTTTATTTTTATCTGTTTTACGTTTCTTTAGCATTTTTTTATTTTTTGGTATATGCTTTCCTGTTTTTTGATCGATATAGTATGCAGCCAGTCCAAAATCAACAAGAAAAGTCTTGTATTTTCTTCCAACCAGCATTTGGATTTTTTTGGATCTGGGGCTATCATTAACTAAATCAAATATATTTGGTTCTGCTAGCTGATCTAAAGGTATCGGAAAATTGTTTTCGAGTAGGAAATTGTCTGGCTTTATATCACGATAAATGATTCCTTTACTATGGACATATTCCATAATTTTTACCTATATATATAAATCATTTGATTTATATATATATATATATATAAAAATAATTAATAATTAAATTTAGGTAATATTATATGAATCCGTATAATAATAAATTTATATATCTATGTATACTATTTTATATCTTATACACACCATTTGAATTGAAACATTGCTTACGAAATCTACAGGCAAAGTACAGAATGCTTTTGACAACATACGTAAACTTGGGCCTAACATGTCCATAACAATGCAATTCCAACCCAATTTCTCACCATACCAATAAACTTTAGGAATATGATCTTTTTAATAAACGCATAATAATCAATTAGCATAATATGAAAAGGTAATTTGAATATTCGAAGTTATTAAAAAAAATTTACCATGTCCTTCTAATGATTTTAAGAACTTGTATTCATCTGGTAGTTGAGGACTGTAAACAATTGTTTCTTCTCTTTTAAGAGCATATAGTTCTTTTGTTCTAATGTGTTTAGCTATTAAGATGAGGAGTAA